TAACTTAAACAACTTTAAAATAATTTCGCCCAATTTCGGCTAATAACAAAAAGTAGTTTGGGCTTATAAAAAAATAACTTTTGCCCAAAGTATTTGGGCAATTTCGGCTACTAATAGAAGCAGTTTTGGCCAGGAACCTTAGACTAGTGTGAGATAGTAAATCGTGGACTGAAGAAGTCCCAACCTTATTGATCAATCGAAACCAACTTATTGCGGCAAATCACGTGATGATCACTAAATCTAGTTTTATAATTTATATATATTTTTAATGATATTTTTTGTGTAACACTGCGCCCAATTGCCCCATATGTTTAGATCATATGATATCGTGTTACATATCTGATTTATATATTTATAACATTTAATTTATTTATTCATCTGATTCATTTGTTTATCAGTAGTCAGAGTGACTCATAATTTGTAAGCATATTTTATTGGGCTAAACATTGTAAAAGTCACATTATATCAGGAACTTAAAAATTAAATTGGTGCCTTGAATTGGTTCTAGTTCAAGACCAGGAAATTTGTCAAAATCTTTTTTATTTCTAGTGTTAGCTTGATTTTTTTTACATTCTTTTCCACATTGATCTTGTAAAATTATTTCTGAGAAAAATGAAGTGTGGTCACCTTGAACAGAATCGGTATCTTCATTATTTTCATGACTTTTATCACGACCTCTACCAACTGCTATAACTTCATGACTTTCGCGACTTCCATGAATTCCATGACTTCCATGACTCCCACGACTTCCGCAATTTCCACGATTTCCTTGATTTTGTTTCATTATACATCAAACAAAAGAACAATGTCTATTGTATTGACCGCAATCGTGTTTGTCAAGTCCGTCAATGGCTCCAGAACCTTAAGCGGCACAGCTACAGCCATATTGGATGATGATGAATATGTAGACATCCAATACAAGGCATTCAATGTAGACAAAGCAAATTTAATTGATGAAATTCAAGAAAACACCATCATGTTGTTTGCAGGAAAATACATATTCGACAAATCGCAATTATTTGTGAGTATTTTATCTATTTTTTTGTCTTGCTTTTTTAAATAACAATAATTAAAATAACATATTTCTTGTCACACACTCCAGGTCATAGTGAATAAATCAACCCTACTTGACCTGAAAACCATAGAAGACAAACCAACTATATACGATCTGCCAATTAGTCCTTTATATGGTGTCATAACTGCTCCGTGTGTAACACCTTCAAAAAATCAAAACAACAAACATTACTTCACTATGTCTTGAAGAACATACGACCCATTTAAAGGTGGATACACATCAATGGACATTCCATGTTTTTATGATCCTGATAATGGTCGTCATGGTGGTGTTCCCAATGCTACAAAAAACGGGAAACAAATTTTTACTGTAGCAGGCGAGGTTTTTCTGGGCAGAAAGCTTGTGCAAGTCTTTGCAAGCAAAATTGAGTGGACTTATCCGAGTGTTGAAAAGACCAACAACAACAATGAAAAGAAATCCTCACGCAAAGCATTAAAATCCAAACACCTGGATTTTGAGGAACAATTCATGAGTTCCAACAGCAAGAGAAAGATTACAAATCACATCAGGAAGTCAGGCAAAAAAAGAAGAAGCATAGACCTTGATCCACAAGAAGAATCAAGCACAGCAAGGGCAACAAAACTGACACACACAATGAACGAAGTTGTCAGTAAGAATAGAGGTTGTGAAAATGATGACGATGATAATGAAAACAAAACAGTGGTAAATGACAACGGTGACGAGAGTTGTGACACTGAATAATTCTCATTATTCTTTTTTTTTCATTTCCATTTGTATTTTTTTTTTTGCAATAAAAATTATGTATATCAAATTTTTTTTTCAGTTCTACTTGTATTTTTTTTTGCAATAAAATTTATGTAGATCAAATTTTTTTTTCAGAAAAATAAAAAAAAAAAAATTTTTTTGAAATCACCACCCAGCGAAAGCAAAAATTCTTTCCCAAAAAATTAAGTTTAAAAAGTTTAAAAAACAGAGATTTTTCAGTTTCATTGCAATTGCAACGCATTGCTTGCAACTCAATTCAATGCAACTCAATTGCAATTGCAACCTATATATGAAACGAAACATTTGCCATACGACACAATTTTTGCTAAATATGGTGAAAACATTGATCACGCCAAAAGCCGAAAAATCAAGTGCGGCTAAACGCAAAAGGAGACAATCGGCAAGAAACCTGCACGGAAGTCGCACAATTTGCGAGTTTTGGAAGGAGATCGTGACATGGCAAATGTTAAATCTTTTTTTTTGTGGTTAATTAATTAATATATATATTACCAAGGGGATGCCTTTGGGGAATATTGGACAGATGAATTAATTGCTAGCTAGGAACCTAATTAAATATTGGTAAAGCCTGTTATCTCTTTGATGTAGAGTCAGACATAAAGGTCATTATACCTTGACATAGAGTCAGTATAGTGTGGAAAGCCACAAAAGCCTCGGGTTATCTTGGACATAGAGTCAGATATATAGGTTACCTTGGATGTATATTAGAAACCTCTAATTAACTTGGGACTTGGAGTCTGGTACAACAACTTAATTGGAGTCACTAGAACAAGGTCTAGTGGGTTACAAGCATAATAACTAAGTATTAATAAGAAAACTCGGATTGCACTCTTGCACTAACAAAAAGTATGAAGTATTGACAGTTATAACTAATTAGCCATCTATATGAGGCTAACAGTATTAGCCAAAGTTGATATCATGTGTTGTTATTTGTTGCAAATCTATGGCTGACTTCCAATTAGCCAGAGAAAAGTAAACAAGTAAAGTAAATAAAATAGGAACTCTATAAGCCTTTGTTGCTTAATAGAAGGGCTGTCTTTATTTATTGTAATTAATTGCTATTTGTACTGTAAAGTGTGCTTACAAATTCGCCAAGGTTTTCTAGTGTAAACATTCAAATAATTATTTAACATTTTTAATGAACAAGTAATATTCAAATAATTATTTAACATTTTTAAGGAACAAGTAATTTAATTGTTGTAAAATTACAAAAGTTATTTTTATTTCATTTAAATTTTAGTTCTTTAAATAATAAAATTACAATACTTAAAATATAAATATAGATCATATTGGTAATAAATAAATTAAATTAATATTACAATCTCTATGTTGTATGGGAGCTTATAGACTTCCCAGAAAGTATGATCATAGTATGATCATAGTAAAGATAACCTCCTTAGATATAAGTAAATATAAAGATAATAATAAGATAATTATATTCAAAATAACCTAATAAAATATATGATTACAATAATAATATCTTTAATTCAACAATAAATACTGATTGTTAATAAGATTCCTATAGATTACCAATATGGTAATAAAAATTAATTACCAAATTCAATTAGTTTTGTGACCAATAATTTCAGGGATTGTTGCATCTAGGTACATGAAAGAGGCAGTAACCAAGACAAGTGTAAATAAATTCATAAAATAAATCAACCAACAAGTGTAACCAAAAGTTAACTTGAAACCCACCCAGCAATAAAAGAAAATAATCAAAGTTGACCAAAAACCATACTCACATTGGTATGTCTTATAAGTTTATATCTATTTCCAACAAAGAATTATAAAGTTACCTCCAAGGCAGATCTGAAGAAAGAAATTGATCTTGTAGCCCAATTTCAAGGGGAAAAGGTTGTTACAGATGATAGAGATATAAAAAATTGAACAGTAACAGTTAATTTCTGATTTGAATAAATTTTATTAATAAAAATAACGATTTACTATATATTTCCAGTTACACAATTCAAATTCCATTTAAAGAAAAAATATCAACACGCAAAGTATAAATATTCTAAAATTTAAAAATCTTTTGGTAATTTTCTCTTCTTTTTCAATTCTTCTAATTTTAATTTTCGAGCAGACATAGGAGATGTTTCAATCTTCATTGACCAACTTATTGACTGTGAGAGTGGTGTTTTGTACCCTAATTCTAACTCTTGTGAAATATCTATTAATTTCTTGATGTTTTTATCCACAGAGATCTTTTTCAAGGTTAATAAACAAAATCTATTAATAAAAATTCAAGTTTGCTGAAAGATATTACTGAATTAAAACACTTACACGTAATTTAACCAATTGTAGTATTGCTTTTCTCATTTGTGGGAAATCGTAAAAAGTGACAGGAAAGTCACATTCACTGATCTTTTCAAATATGTATAACTCAGGACCAACTATTTTCAATGTATAAAATTTCATATTCAAACCTAATTTAAAAATAAAATTAGCAAGTATATCCAAGTCTGATAGTTATTTACAATGCCTGATTATAAAATAAATTCACTTGCCAGAAACTATAACTCCATACACTTTAATCTTATCAGTTTGATCCAAGTCTGATTCTGAAATTGCCTTTTCACTTATAAAATTAAGCATGTCATGTAATTCGGTACATAATTTTACAGTATCAGAAAGTTCTTTTTTTATATCTTCACTTTCTTTGTATTTGCTACCTTCAACAATTAAGACTTCAGATCTTCGAAATAACAATGATTCAATAACTATATCAGGAACAAGGGCCTGGTCTATATTATCATCCAATGTTTTAAATTTGTTTCTCCTGACTTTGTTTGCAAAAAGTGGTCTAAAATAAATGCAGTTAATTAGCAAAATATATAAATTTTTTGGTTTCAAATATTATAAAATTTAGTTCTTACTTATTAGACTCTACTATATAATTGGTACCATAAAATAAATTAAAAAATGTATGAAAAAATAATCCACTAGTAATGTGTGGTTCTGAATGTTCTCGATTCCAATACTGAGGATCTAATTTAAAGTATCTGAGACTGATAAAATTCTTTTAATTAAATGACTAAAATGATTTAATTAGTGATCAAAATAAAATAAAAAATGAAAATTCTCACATTGTTTCAAATATGATTCGAATGAAAGATAGTAAAGCATCATTTAGATCAAGTCCAAATACGTTATCATCCTTGTAAAAATTTTTTAACATTGAACTTGCACCATCAATATTTGTTAATTTTGATATATTCTCTATACGATTAAATACAATATCATTGATATCAGAGTCCTCTATTTCTTGATTTAGTTTCATTGAATATCTTTCTTTGATCTTATTGTATGGAACCTTTAGAAAGAGTGGATCATCCAGATCCAAAACTCCAATCCGGATTATGCTGCTAAATGTTACAACAGTAATTTACATTATTATAAATTTGCTACTAATAATTTATTTATTTTGAATAAAAAAATTTATTACTCTGGTTCTGATTTTTGAAATATTGGTGTCATCAGATCCAAGATTGTGCTATCCTTAAAATAGAAAAAAAAAGAAATATTTAAACCCAATCGTAACCCTAAATAAAAGTAACTATCACTATATATACAAACATTCCCAAATTTTGGCATCACATTTTCTTGTTGATTTTCATTATTTAATGTTTTTTTATCTGACAGTTTTAGTAGCTTTGATCTAAGTATATATGTATATATAACGTTGTTAGAAGATGCTAAAAAAATATATATGTCTAGAGTAGTGGCAACAGTGGCAGCAGTTGCATACAACCACAACCACCACCATCATTCTTTTTAAATATATAACTTCTTACCCTTTGGTATTTGCTCTCTTAATATCGGCACCTCTTTTTCCTTTCTTATAATCCATTTTTAAAAAAAAATAGTAATTAAACGTTTGATTGACATGCACGTTTTACGTCATAGGAGGACTTTCATATGATTGGCTGGTTTTGCCGATCAAATTTAATTGATTATTGATACATTTTAAGGACACTAATAAAAAATACAAAATTTTATCATAATTTATTCCACATGAACGCTAATATTCACTGTGCAAAAGAATCAAAAAAGAATCATAAACCTCATATGCTTTACTTAGAAGCGAAAATGCCGCCAACTACTACTATTACTAGATCGTGTGCAATTACTATATGTCAACCAACCGGGGAAAGGTAACTGAGAATGTTCTTTTTAAAGGTCATGCTAATAAATACTTTTCCAGGTTATGTTCAAGAAACGATGCAATTTGTTTAAACAGCTACACACGGATGTCAAATTTATTAATATATAAGGTGCGCAAAATTTATACTATTTATCAACTAACTACTTTTACTTCATTTATAAGATATTAATACGTATATCAATAACAATATTATACACGGATGTCAAGAGGCAGTAGTAGTAACAGTTAGTTGTTTTATAATTACTGCTAACAATTTTGTATAATAATATATATTTATTTATTATTAGATAAATATAATAAATAAAAAATAAAAATATACTACTTGGTAAACATGGAGGAAAACTTGTACGTTTTTTATAAGTGAAGTAGATCAATTAAACTCATGTTTTACTTAGCAAAATATAAACTTCTACATGCAAGAATTTAGTTGAAACTTAGATCAACTACGTTTTAAATAATTTTATTAAAGAAAAAAAAATACAACATATATTTCTCTCAAAAAAATAAATCAAAATCGATTAACATTAATATTATTTTCTTTTGGTAACATAGTACAGTTCACTCTCTCTATAACGGATCATTTGTCTGGGGAAAAAAGATCCGTTATCTAAAACTGTAAACGATAAAAAACTTATTGCAAATATAGTGTAACATATCTGACCAATCATATGAATGTCCTCCTATGACGTTTTACGCGCGTATGGGTTGTACAAAGAATTATTTTTTTGGACGAGGAAACATGAATGTTACTTTGATAGGGCTTGTTCTGAAGACCTGTTTTTTATTAATAGTGAGAGGTACTTTTATTTTCGTGTTGATGTGTGTATTATTTATAAATGTATATTGAAATCAAAACACGGAGCAGAACTAGTGGCGTCTCTTTAGGTATTTATTACAAGATTCATGATAAATAAATAAACTATTGGTATCGTTTTGCTTTTCGTAACTTATATTAATATTATTAAATAATAATACATAATTATAAGAAAATGACAAGGCAGCATAATTGAAAGCACATATGCTATCTTGAAGACATTACAGTCATTCTTTCACGTTCCTCATGTACACAAGGCTAATCTGACCAAGTTTCGCCCGATGATATGACGATGCAATTAAGTTCCAGGGGGGGGGTCGCATGGCTCTGGAGTTTACCAAAAGATTGCATCATTGTCAAGGCATTTTCACGAATCCTACCTAATTTTCCTCACAGTGTCTGGACTGGTGTTACATGGATATAGTATGCTGGCCAAAAAGTTGTCTGCAATGATCCTACCTCTAGGGTAAAGATGGATGGCTCTGCAACCAACAAATCGCACTCTGGAGGTTGCTTGCAACCTGATCAAAGGGTTTTAATGTTAGTATAATTTTTGGTAAGAAATTACAACTTTATTCTAGGTGAGGGAGGTAACACACAGAAATCATCACATAAGTAAGTGCCAACCAATGTTGGAATTTTGTAACTAATGCAGATTTCTACAAATTTAAAAACTATCTGCAGGAAATTACTAGTGTATGATGTTACACCTGGGCATTGAATTTCCTACACTGGTGCCAACTCTCATCAACAATCAATGCTCATTTGGTAACAATCAAGCCTGGTCTGAAGGGGAGTCTTTTGCCAACCTTGAAAAAGTCTTCCAACATGTGGGGGGCCTCACCTATGGAGAAAATTTCATGGTTATGGGGTGTGCAAAAGCACACAACCACATGTTTGCAATAGGAAATTTTATTAAATCTGACACCTGTTATTATCATCAGATTTATTATTCATAAGAAATCATACAATGGGAAGGAAAATATTTTTTTTAATCCTTCCTATTTATTTATTTATTCTTGTGAACCCAGAGATCTGGGCAGACACACATTATTAAAAGTTTCATTTATGCATGGCCTTGGCGTTATTACTACTTGGGTGATGCAATTGTTTGTTATGTCAAAAATGATATCAAATGTATTGAATAATCATTGGGAAGAAAGGAATTCACACATGAGGAAAGTATTAAATAGCAATATTTGTTTATTTTATTTTTTATTTTAACCAAGATATATAATTAATTGTATTGAAAAAATACAAAGATAAAAAATTGCCAGAGTGATTACATGGAATCCAAGGCTGGACCAATCACATCATTACATATTTCAAGGTCAATCAAGCAATTATTTGAATATATTGGTGCATTTTGTAATCTTATTGAAGGGGATAGGTTTGTACATAATTTTACAAATAAAGTTATTTACCTTAATGTAATAATCATTATATATAAATTAATTTTTAAGTTTCAAAAATTGTTTATTTTGTAAAATATAAATTTTTACAATTGTAAGAGTTACTTTTCAACAAGATAAATTATAAGTATTTCGAACAGATACTTTAATTATTGTAAAAATACAAATTACCTTTATTTCTTAGAAGATAATCCTTTTTATGTTAAAAATACATAAATAATAAAAATATAAATAAACTATAATTAATTTTATTGTTATAATCTATTTGGAAGATATTTTGAACATAATAATGTTGCTGGAACTCGAAATTAGTGCTGATTTACTAGCTGAATATTATAATTTTGAATTATTTATTTTTTTTTTTATTTTTATCTGTGTATTTTTAATATATATATTATTTAATCCTATTTTTATTTTTCTATTTATTTATTTTAACTTTATTTAGTAAGAAATAATGTCGATGAGCCATATTCCGACTATTTAGCCAGAAAATGACTAAATGGCCAGGTTATGACTAAAAAGCCATTACACAGAGAGTATGGAAAAGACAGAATATGTCTAAAAAGTCAGGATATGACTAATTAGGCAGAACATGGCTAAAAAGCCAGAATAAGATTATTAATTAATCAACATGTATATAAGCAGCTTGAATTCGTAGTACTTTCAAAATAACTTTGTAGTGAGTTAAGAAGTTAGAAATAATTTAATTAGTTTCGATTAAATAAAATAATCACTTATTATCTTCTTAATCCAAAATTATTCGCTAATAAAAACTAATTCGTTAGTAACCCTATTCATCCTGATCCACATAAACATAATTAACAATTGTTATCATCAATTAATTTACACTCTCCCAAACAGAATTGGTGACAATAATAAATAAATAAATTAAGTAAATTTTACATCTATTACTATAAAAAGTAAACAAACTATAAATCACTACACATGATTTGTTACAGCAATAATAACATTTTCTGTTTATGATCAACAATGTGTGGAAAAATTCATTGGTAAAGGTAGTCAATTTTTTTATTAACTTGTTATTATTTCATTTATTGTTTGCTTTTTAAGTTGTCTTTACTCATTTTGATTATTAACAATGATAAGCCAATTTAAATCTAGGTTATAATTATTTTTCATGAGGAAGTTTCCAATTTCTCTTCACAAGTTACTGAACAATCATATCTTTTAAATCATTTATTAAAACTATTCAATTGATTCATCTAAGTTTAATTCCATTCATATACTTTCCTTCAATTTTAAAACAATTATAAAAAGCCACAAAGTGAACATAAAATTTATATATAGGGATAAGTGTATATGAAAAATAATAATGAAAATAATAATCATAATGGTTCTAATGAATATCAAAAAGCAATTGATTTTTTAGAAAAAGGATGTAATTGTGGTTGTTCTTCAAGAATTCCCAAGGAACAATTTGCAGAATTAAGGGAGTCATTTCAAGCTCTTTCTAAAGTAGAACAAGATATATTTTTAATGGCTCAACTTAAAGCCATGGATGGTGGATCAATAAGCACTAGTAGACGCCTTAAAAAGAAAACCAGATCAAATAAAAGAACTTTCTATCATTG